ATAATTCTCACGGGAGGCGAAAGAAAAAGGCAAAGCCTATAGGTAGTTTGCGTTTGAGGGGCATGAAAAGACCCGCTAGGAGGGTGACTGCGAGTCCAAAGAGGAGGATTTCAGTTAGAATGTCCATTGCAACGATGAATTGCCATCTTTTTAGCTTTATGAGGTTGTGTTAGCTGGTTCGGTAGTAAATGGGGGTGTAAGTGCCTAGGAGGATATAGATGGGGGACTTACCAGATTCACGCATTGTCCTCCGGCGCCTTTCCACGGTCGATTTAGCTCGCAGTTGATAGCGATAATGAATACTGATGTGATTATCCATGCTGTGCAGAGGGCGAGTGTGGCCCAGGAGATCCGGTTATGTAGTTTCTGGGGTGTGAGGCGGAGGTGGATGCCCACTACGCAGCATTTGGAGACGTAAATGGTGATTAGGTAGAGGATGTCGCTGACTGTGACTAACTATAGGTATCTTTGTTAGGAAATTGGACTTCTGATATCCTTGGGAATCAGGGCACGTGCTGTCTGAATGTTATACACTTGGTCGTGCTGTAGCAGATCAATAGCCGTTCCAAACCCGTGAGACACAGCGCCGAATAAGAGCGAGGTTTGGACAACTGCGAAAATCTATTACTGTTAGAGATGCTCTAACAAATTCTTGCCATTCCTCATTCAAGTTAAGACAGTTTGAAAGATGGTCATAGCTTACCGTCGCGCCTAGCAGGACAAAGTCATCGTATGCGAACGGCGGGCTAAGCACCAGTCTCACATAAAGACGAATCAAAAAACTGACTAGCGAGACAACTAGTCCCAGAGCGCCGGTGATGATTATCCAGGCGCCATGATGGGAGTCGTCTACCACCTGAAAAGGAGGCGAATAGCCTGGAGGCACATACACGCCCATGACGGCTGAGGACCTGAGGTGACCTCAGCCGATGAAACAGGATAAATAGAAAGATTCGCCTATACACTGTTATTTCGCTTACTACGCGACGATTACAAGAATGAGGCTTTTTTATTAAAAAATTCCTTTTTGTTTTTTACTTTTTCTTCGGTTATGTGTTCTGGCCAGCCTTAGGGCCAACCAGGCGTCAGAGCCAGGGTGGGATATGTGATGACCCTCGAAAAAGCATCGTGCCTAACAGCTGACACGATTATCTTGGTCGATCACCCGCAGTAATTACGATTGGGTCTCGCCGCTCGAATCAGATCTACAGAGTCGAACGAGGGTTCGGCAAGCTCAGACATTTTATCCTTGCAAATATCATCACAACCCTTAGCCAAGACCGACCCTTCTCTCCCTATTTCCTTTGAGTTCGGGGATACCAACCAGATCCCGCGGAGCTACACTATCTGTGATTGACGCCAGGAGGAAGATACTGTTTGATCAGGTACGGTATGCAGGACTTTGCTCGTGGAAGATCGTTTCAGCGTGGTCCAGGCTCACGCTTAAGCTCAGTCAAGGGGGTTTCGTGCACGATCAGCGCCATTCGGTCCATATTAAGCGATAAAGCTCGTGATCGATGTTTTGGCTTTCCACTGGGTCAATAGTCGACGCACGCAAACACCGAAAATAACCAATCTTAGATTAGTGACGATCCCGACGGTCACACATGAGCTGACACCCGACATGCGACTTCGGACGTGGGGGTAAATTAGCATTTATTCTCTCCGAGGAGCTCGTCAGCATGCTGTACATTGAACAACCCCGAGATTCGGAGGATACTCTGCGATATCCCTCTGTGGATAGCCATTTACAAAAGAAGAAAGATTTGGTTACCTTTGAAATCATACTCGAGGGTCCGATGCCATGCTTGAGCAAACGCAGGCACATGTAAGGCGCCGCGAAATGGTAAATAGACTCAGAAACAATCATCAGCACCCAACGATCAACATGCCACAAAATGCCGCGCCTCGCAGGCATCGGCGGTCAGGATGACGAGCTCATGCATTCCTCCTTTTTTCTTTTGAATCTTGCTGTCCCACATGGCTGGAACTATGTCTTTCACATTGGCCCGCAGATTAGAGAATATTGATTTAGCCTCGTTTAGCGAAAACAATTACTCCCCCTCGCACGAGACGGAATTTATCCCTACTATGATAGAATATCTTCCATTACCCTCGAAAGATCCTCATGTACTAACTGGACCTTCGCCCTATCGGCAAATCTAGAGGTGTCTGCGCCATGGCACATGCTGCTGGCCTTGAACATGAAATTGAGGCATTCGGCATCTCCGAGGCTGGATATGCCACGAAATGCCTTGTTGAGCCCAAGTATATGGGCACTATAGCAGATCAAAAAGATATGAATGTTCTGGGCCGGGTTCAAGTTCTGCGGGTGAGTCTCTCTATGTCGATCCATGTATAGTACTGACACTGTTAGTTTAGAGGAATTTCCGATTTGTTTCAATTGTTGGGTTCGGTTGTACATTGATTTCCACGTGGGAAGTCATACTAACGTATGTTTCTCTGATCGTCCTGGTATTGTTCGTACAACTAATTGCTGGCCAGGTTGTTGAGTGCTGGCTTAACCGACGGTGGAACTGCTGGCTTAATATGGGGTTTTATTATTGTTTCATTAGGGTTCACCCTTGTATTTGCCAGCATAGCTGAGATGGCGTCAATGTGTGCTCTATGGTCGCTCCATTACTACTCAGAGGGCTCAAGCTGACCATATTCTAATAGGGCTCCGACATCTGGGGGTCAGTATCATTGGGTATCCGAGTTCGCTCCTCGCAGATACCAGAAGTTCCTGAGCTATATCACGGGTATTGATATCAAGGTCCATCCTCAGTCATCAAGTAGCTAACGACATTAGGCTGGCTATGCGCAATGGGGTGGCAGTGCGCTATTGTATCCATTGCATTTCTTGCTGGCACCATCATCCAAGGCCTGATTGTGCTCAATGATTCGGCGTATGACTTCCAACGTTGGCACGGCACTTTATTTATAATAGCGATTACAACATTTTCTATTCTTTTCAATACCTTTCTAGCCAAGAACTTGCCCATGGTAGAAGGGTTGATTTTGATCCTCCATGTCATCGGGTTGTTTGCGATTATCATCCCTTTGTGGGTGCTTGCTCCCCGGAACAACCCCAAAGCTGTCTTTACCGAATTCAACAACGGAGGAGGATGGAACAGCCCCGGTACTGCGACACTGGTCGGCCTGTCGACTACCATTACCTCTATGATCGGATATGATTGCTCTGTGCACATGTGTAAGTGGTGACTTTGACTATGTATGTGAAAGTAGCTAAGTTACAGGAATAGCCGAAGAGATTAAGGACGCGTCCAGAACATTACCAAAGGCAATGATGGCTTCTATTGGTGTCAACGGTGTTCTGGGCCTCATCATGATTATTACGCTGTGTTTCACTATGGGCGATGTTAACAGCATCCTCGCCAGCCCAACTGGTTTTCCGTTCATACAAATATTCTACAACACCACAAACAGTTATACGGCCGCAAATACAATGACCGCAATTTTGATAGTGACGTTGACAGCTAGTACTATCACAGAGGTGGCAACAGCGTCCCGGCAGCTGTGGTCTTTTGCGAGAGATGGAGGGCTCCCATTCTCATCCTTCTTCTCCTATGTACGTTCCCTTCGACGGCATACTTCGATGTTATTCCATTGAGTCCGACATGAAGAGCTGACATGGTGAATTCGAATAGGTCACACCGGGATGGCACATCCCTCTAAACTCAGTGATGGTCTCTCTTGCAGTGACTATTCTCCTCTCTTTGATCAACATCGGCTCCACTGTCGCTCTTCAGGCCATAGTCTCTCTCACAATTACTTCTTTGATGTCTGCTTATATTCTTTCTATTGGCTGCGTCGTTCTTCAACGAATCCGAGGCGAGCCGCTTCCTCCCCGGAGATGGTCTCTCGGCTCTTTCGGTATGGCCATCAATATTGCATCTTTGCTATTTTTATTCCCGATCTTCGTCTTTTCTTTCTTCCCTCTCACTGCATCTGTTGATAGTAAGTCGATGAATTGGAGTGTGGTGATGTATGTGGGAGTGATCGCCTTTGCATCGGTCTATTATCTGGTTCGAGGGAAGCATCAGTTTGTTGCTCCAGTGGCGCTCGTCAAGAGGGAAGAATGACTTGGATAGTGTTGGCTATTATCGGTTTGGCAGCTAATTATCTTGCACTTCGCCGATGTCATATAGTAAGGATGTATTAATGTACAGTACTTTCAATGTTGATAGCATCGCTCCATAATTGTTGAATTGTGAATACGTTCGATCGAATATTCTCTACAATCCATTCTCCCTGTTGCATTCCCATATTTATTCCCTATTGATAAACAGGTAATACTACTATCTCATTCCCAGGATTCATACTATATCATCCAACCCACAGCTTCTCTCGACCACTCCACTTTCTAATCTTAACCTTCCTCCATTTCTTCATTCCGGAGCCTATCGAATCTAGATCTATGGGTCCTGGTACATATTGGATCCCAGTAATGCAACACTAGGGGAGTGAAATACTCCTGGACTTGGTAGAATCTTGTACGGTCTGGTAATTTACAAAAGCCGGAATATGCTCAGGATTACATTGCCAGATGCCCCGTTTCTCTACAGAACAAAGTTCAAACTTATCCTCTTTACAGTCTATTACACCTAATTCATATCCACGCCGCGGTACACAGTCACCAGGGTTTCATAGTCGATCCTCCAGTCGGCAACTAGTGCGACCAAGTGCTCGTGCTCGTGGATAAGTTTACGAAACGGATAGGTATTGAAGGGACCTGTCTGCCACCATGAAAGCAATGGATTACTCAACTACTCTAAGCGGTTCAACCATCACCGACATACTCATCAATACCAATCGAGCTCACAACTCCACTGCTCGTAACTCCTGTCGTTAAGAATCAGGGTGAGCTACCCACAATTATCAAAGTGTTGGAGCATCTCGAGCTTCCAAAACTGGAAGGGTATTCCTTGGAGAAAAGTCAAAAATTCCACCGACGCAAAAAAGAAAAAAAGATAGGATAGCATGTCCTGGTTTCGATCCAGGGACCTCCGGGTTATGAGCCCGGCTGTGATTATGTTAGTTTATAACTCGAATAATGTGAAGGTCACGTGAGAAATACCGCTCTTCCCCTGAGCTAACATGCTGCAGTTGGTGGTATTTTGCGGGTATTGAGACTTAAGATTTTCGACTTGATATACACTACTATATCATCCCCGGGGTGCAAAAGGTTGGTGCCTGCTGTCAAAACAGACTGGACGGAAGCATGGCTGATATGTAGTGCTTCCTCGTATCGTGTTGATGGTGTTGTCCAGCGGTATAAGATGTGGGAGACGACAAACAAGCCGCTATTGTACATGAACAACTATAGATACCTAAACCTAAAGCCAACCAACCTAACCGGCGAGATGAGGTAGTTATCGACGACAATTGAATACTATCATGGCTCAGGATGAATTGGAACAAGTTGACGGTTCTGGAAATCCTTGGTCCGTATTTGCTGTGTGGAAAACCGTCGCCGACAGCAAAGGGGACCTTGTCCGGAAGTCGAAATCGTCTGGTACTTAAAAGAATTAGCGATGTAGACATCAGGTTCAGCATATTGCTTCATCCTCTACAATGCTGACCACCCCAAGACTTATCACGTTTGTTACATCCGTTGATACACCCTCTCAGTCGCTGGCCATCTCGCGGAATATTGTCGATTGGCCAACTCTTGTCATCGAGACGGGTGTAAGTCTCACACGAAGCTGAAGGAAGATGCCAATTGGTGGTTTGAAAACTCAGAAAGAAAAAGATGGCCAAGAGAGTTTTTTAGAACATATGCTTCCAGCCCACCGAGTACGCCACCTGAATGATCAAGATATAGGGCAACCGTTGATTCGGTTACACGGCCGAAGTCATGTTCTGCGCCGAACCAATATTCTTGCTTTGCGATCAGTCAGGTGAATGACTCCCTCGCCAGCTCAAAGCTAAAGGCAACCAAGGGAACTGGAGCCCATCATCGCTATCATCATGCCATAAGGTATGATAGCGCACAGTTATGTTTCGAATCCCAAGAAGTTGGTGATCTTTCGCAATGTTATCCCTCTATTAGGGTTTCCCACACCAAAGCTATATGATATTCCCGTTCAAGATCGCACCCTATGTTGGAACTTAAATCATAAAACACATGTAATCTTTGATCATGGATTAACAGCAGAAGGATGGGCACTGCTTTTGATCCACTATGCTGGACACGGGATGGAAAAAGACGGAACGCTTTTTTTGCATTGGGGTTGGCAAAGAAATTTCTGTGCAAGCTATAGGCCGAAGTATAAAATGACTCCCAGAATAATCAAATGGCAGATAGAGGACCTAGGCTAAGTCTAATACAAGGGAGGACGGCGATTAGCGAGTCAATAGAACAAACAAAATACTCCGCGAAAACCAGAGACAAATCGAAATGGGACGACGTGGACTATCTGGCATGCTTCGTGTGGTGGACCGCACATAAAAACAAAGATATGGCAAGACGGCCTTAAATAACAGAAACCTCACGGGTATTATGGTGGAATACAATGCCGAACCTGCATATTTCGTTGCCACCGCGGCCGAAGATGAGGATCGTCAACCGTCAAAGTATCCAGTGACAAGTTTTAACAACGCTGTCTTCTGCAGCATAGCACATTTGTCTGATGGCATGGATGTGTACTGCATGGTTGTACACAAAATCCTTTCCTGCGTCGACAACTTGGTTCATCCGTCCTGTATTTGATGATAGGATCGACCAGATAGTATGTGGCCTGAAAGATTGGGTGCATATTTGGCACTGCTAGCTTGGGGGTACTGCTCTGCGTCTTCCCATGCGGACCAGCTCTGTATATGCAAAGCCAGAGGCGCCTTCTTCAGAGAATTGCTTAATTTTGGTAGGTCTCGATTCATTGCTGACCTACTATAGTTATGTTACGCTGGGATCTCAATCAAGTGCAGCAAATCTGGGACATATTGAATTGGATGGTAGCATGTTGTTTCTCCCAGCCCGCGGGTCCATGCTCTTGTCCAGCTCTTTCCACGAATTCTTGCGCTCAAAGACGAAGTCTTTGAAGTTCTAGGGGTCTAGCAAGCCGGACAGAGGATAGTTTCCAGGTCAGCAACCTGAGTATGGAGGATGTCGAAAATACTTTGGCATCCCAAAGATACCGGTGCCAGTGAACTTCCCATCCTGGTGAATCTCACTTCCCGCAACGCTGGGTAAGCTATAGCTCCTGACTGGAACGGTATGACATATTGATTGATCATACGTGTAGTCAAGGATTTCATAGGATACAGACCTCTTAAGCCCTCTGCATTGCTTTACCTAGGTCAATCTATCACCCAGCCACCTACCTGACATGTCCCCTAGGCTTCAGGTGATTATTGTTATTTCTCTTTTAGCCAAAGGTTATCTGCATCTTCGAAACTAGAAGGGCTTACAACAGCATAACCGTGACGGAACTGGGAACGGACTATCCTGTCCCCAAACTCAAATAATGCGCCTGTAGTTTTAAACTGCATTGGCGACTCTATTCTCGCCTGGAAAGGTCATTATAAGCGGAGAATCGGGTTATTCGACTTGGTATAATGGGCACGAATGCCCAGCAAGTCAACTGATAATCGTGGAGGCCAAAAAGGCAAGACACGTCACTCTTGGCTTGCCCTAGTTACTAAGGTATATAGATAAATCCTCATCTAGCGACCCAGACATCGGCATAATATGTCGATGTTTGTCAGATGCGACAATTCTAGTGCCTGGCTTGCGTGCCAGAAATTGAAAATGCGTTGTTAACCTGACAAGCCGAGACCGACTACCATATTTGCTACTGGAATATCGTTTACTGACTTCATGGATGCCAGCTGGTGTCGGTAAAGGCCTAAGCATTTAGAGAAGGCTGACTTGGTACTATTGAGGTCCGAGGGCAACAACCGCAAGCCTTGTCACTGGGATTGCCCTACAGAGAGCTGCAGGGTAGCAATCTACCCTTTCCGAATTGTAACCCTTGTGCCACCTTGGAGTATTCTGTCGGTTCTATGAGAAACACTACGACCAACGTTTTGGAACTCATGCTATAGTTACCTGGTCGCTAGGGGGTATACTGAGATATCGAGATGCTTGCGGCAGCTGATGAGGACAGCAAACTCTTGTTTCCCCCTAGTCTTCCAGCTTCTATCAGAGGATGCTGAACTCACTGAGCTGATAGCGTATCTTTGTGAAGTTTCTATTGTGGAGAAGCCTGCGCATTGTATTCTTGTTGGAGTCAATTCCTTACGTCTGTCCATCCCTGAGGCGTCTGGGCCAAGCATCTATTCGATCTACCAGCCAACGCCGACCTATGGATCCGGAAAAGGAAGCCTCCCAATCAGCAAGAAGTAGTAGCTTTCGATGTCTTCCAGATCTTACCTTTGCCTGTTTGCTTGCTAGGGATTTTCCCACGGCTTCGGCCTATAGCCTAGCACTTGCTTTTGAGCTTTCTATTCCTCGATCGACCCGGCTAAACAGTCGTATCTTGACCTAGATGCGTGTCCTGAAGGTCATGGAGCTATGTTTTATCAATCAATGGAATACACGAGGATTTATCTAAGCCTCCAGCTCGAACACATGTACGACTGGCAGACATTATCAAACTTAAAGATGTTTTGCAGAAGACAAGGGAGAACGGCGCCCATGCCATACGCTCCTTATGATGTGATGGCTTTTCCACAGAAACGCTGCAAGCACTCACAATATTGACATCCTTTGTTAGACCTGCAAAGGGAAAGATCATTTACCGTCACATGACAAAAGAAGATGAAGCATACCAGGGCCACTGAAGAAAAACACTAGAGTGATAACACTGGACAAAATCTTGTCTCTTCCTAAGTGAAGCTTCTCTTACGACGACATTATGCTTTTCGTTGCGCGTGTGCCTAGGACTGATCGGAACACCAATTTTCATGATCGTCTCAGCGTGAGTCTTAAGTACACTCGGACTAAGTACTAGGAAAGTTACAGGCCCGTTGGAGAAAAGGTCCCGTTTCTTATATTCGCCCAATCGTCCAACAAGGTATTTCCACCTAATAGATATACCACAGCGGACCTTACCGCATTCCTCACTCGCTGTCAAGAGACCAGACGCCCTGCTGTGTTAATGCTGAATACATAAAACAACCTGCCTACTAGTCCAGTAGCGCTCGCATCTCTATTTTAGCATATGGACAATGTGCGCATCACCATAAGGGTCTTCACTGGTGAACCACGAAGACTTTCGGGGAGAGAGGCAATACATTCTACTATGATCTTCCCATAGTTCGCTCTTTCAGAAACGCGCCAGCTGAATTCCCTTTCGAATGATGGCAAGTTGACAACTTTTCTCGCCGTCCCCGAAGTATATGGTAAGTTTCCTATGGCCATTCGTCTGATACCCGGAAAAAAATATAGGGATATCGAGACTAGCTCTGGGAAATTCCTTATAATGGTGTTCACTACATAAAGAGCATTACTGAAAGCGGCCGAGATGGCCTTCTCATTCTGCTATGTCTCCAACCGTTTGCCTACTGTTCCTGACCCGTACACCGACCAATATGACCTGCTCTCGATTCCTCGCCCCGGACACTGCTGAATGGATAAAAGCAATTGAAAACGGAGCGCTTTTACCCTCTCACCTCGCTCGATTACTCTTACCATTTGCATTACTTGTCACCATACTCAATCGCTCTGGCTAACATGCTGTTTCGATAACGGCACATTTCCTAGTACAGAGCGGCAGTGCCGCAGAGATTATTCGCACCTTGAGTATACATAGCCCATACTGAGCAGCAAATCTTTTGGCTTGGTCTACGCATCGTTTGGAAGCCAGACAAGATATATAGAAAGAAGAAAGCCATTATGGGCCCCGAGGGGACCGAAGTCCTGCAAAAGTGTTATGCCAATCCCGTGGCTGTCACGGCCTCTGGTAAGGGCCGGTTTAATTTGCATCCCTCCAACTGGTTCCTCAACTGTCGAACGGAAGTATATTCCAATTCCAAAGGACTATCAACAGCCATGAATATTCAGACGAGGATATGGTAAATATGGCGCTATGTGACTTCTTGACAGCACTTACACTAGATTGTGAGTATGTCCACCTTAACTGGGAGCTACAGACTGCTA